TAGTCATGAACTTGGATTGGGGGCACACTACTCTAAGGTAAAAGAATGTGTATTATGTAGTATATCCTATCTGGATATAGTTGGAAAATAAAATATAGATGTGAGATCCTATCATATCATTTTATTTATATTAAAATATTATTTATTTTATAAGTAGATAGCTGAGAATACAATCCAGTCTGCAAGTTGTAGGTTGAGAAGCGCGGGTTGAATAATGAGATACAGTGGTGAATGGTTAATTGGAGCTCTAAATAAGTGTCATATGAAAGAGGAAAGAGAGCAAATTAATGCAACCCTCTTTGACCAAACGCTGCAACTGATGTTGATATTCAACTTTATTTTGAATGAAATCTATTTAAATTTTTTTAAATAATTATTTTTTATGTCAATTATTATTATTTTAAAAAATTAAATTTAATATATTAAAATTTGATAATATTTTATTAATATTCAGAAATTTAATTTAGGAGTTTTTTGTTGATGAAACTAAACGGTATTAGTATTAAAAGACTAAAAAATAAAATAAAATATTGTGTAAAGATAAATGAAGGAGCTGTTTAGCCTTGGAAAAAAAAAACTTCTTGAAGTTCATTACAATTCAACTTGAAGACATATAGGAGGATACAAAAAAACTGTAAAAGCATCAGAACATAGTTTATAAAACTTGTTAGAAAAACAGCAGGAAAAATTTTAGTTAGCTTTGCTTGACCCAATATAATTTCCGTCAACTCCCAACACTCTGAAATTTTACTACAGATTCAGGGAAATGAAATGAAATTAAATAGATGACTCAAATGATCTTATTATTCCTAGTGAAGATACGCACATAAAGAACTCGTGCAGGAAAAATAAACAACTGATATATTTGTAATTTATAGCTCTTATTAATAGCATAACACCAATATGAATTCACAACTTTCATTTTATCTAAGTCAATTGTTCACCCTACACAAGTTACTTGTGCATCTAACTTCATCAAAGATAATAAGATCATTTGAGTTATCTTTTTAATTTCATTTCACTCTCCCAAATGAATGATGCAATTTTAGAGTTCTGGAAGGGATTGGCTGAAATTATGTTGGGACAATGGAGGATGACTGAAATTTTTCCAAAACATGATCAACATGGTATCTCAAAATTAGATAATTTTCCGTGGTAGAGGGAGGGGACTAGCTAGCGGCCAAGGCCCCTCCAAATCATTAATTTTTTTTTTTTTAGTATCGTGTGTGTGTTACAAAAATTTTATAAAATCTTTGTAGTATTATAGAATTTTCTACTTTTCTTTGGTTTATTGTTTGTACTTTTGCCCCTATTTTTTTTTCTGAGGTTATATGAGTTGATTTATTTGCCTTGTTTATTTCTAGTTTATTTGTTGTATGCAGGTTTGTTTCCTTTTGTTTGCGGCCCGAGCTTTGCTTGTATTATAGTGCGTGCAATGATTTTTTCATGTCGATGAAAATGACTTTTTTGGGTAAATAAAAAAAAAAACACTCAGTTTCCCTCGTTACTCCGCCCGTTCTATTTGTAAGATATTTTTTAAAAATAATTTTTAATTTAAAATATAGAATATTTTGTAATGATTAAATCATTTTTCCAGTTTCATCTTTTCATAATTAGTATAAAAATATTTAATATAGTTGTATTATTATTTAAAAATAAAAATAAAAATAAAAGTATATATCACTTTTTTATAATATCAAGACAAAAATTAATTTTTTAATATAAATAAAACAGTTAAAAGTGTTATATAATAAAAACTAAATGGAGTATTAGATATTGATTCCACCTCTAAATTAATGTTGCTTAAAGATCATACAATGCCAGTGGAAATTGGAAAGTTATTCCTCAGAATGACTATTAGTGGAAGGAAAAGAAAGTCTATAGCACAACTTACAATCAATCAAATTAAGTAATTCATTAAAAAAAATTTTTATCTCAACATATAAAATATTTTGAGAAAATCAAAATTTTATTAATTATATTTTTTTAATATTATTTTTTACGTGAGGAGAAAATTGAATTTTGTTACGAAAAAGTAAATTAATAAAATATTGTTATTCCTATTATGTTATATTGATATTACATAATATTATCTTAAATTATTTTATAATTTAACATAGACAGAGTATTAAATTATGAAAACTCGTCATCATCATGAATTGGAATTCGCGTTGACTTTTTCTTTTTTCTTTTTTGTTAATGAAGTGTCTCTCTCATGCCACTATATGTAATTGAAGAATGAAATATTTGGTGGTTTGACAAAATATTGATGTCAAGTTACATCACAAAAAAAGAAAGAAAAAAGATAGCCCTTCTTTATTACGGGACGACAACGGACTTTAGTTTGAACCATGATTAAGGATTCTAATTAAAAGAATATAGTTGTTGATAGTTTTAATAAATATTATTTTTTATCTAATATCAATTACTTTTTACCTAATTCAATTGATTTCGATATTGTCATTACGTTCAAATTTGAGACTGGGTTAGGTTTTGCTACACTTAACAAAGTTAAATCCAGTCTTGGTATGCTGGGCCAGAGGCTTTTGCAGAGTCAAACTTTTTATTAAATGTGTTGAAGTCATCAAGTTAATCTACCAAAGCAACGTGGAACAATATTCGTTCAGAGACATTATTTAATAGGTTAAGTCACTCTTCAATAGAGAGTGGCACGTTATGATTAACTTTATATTGAGATAGGCTAATTTTTGTGTTCATTTTCTTGCTAGAAATGCTAGTCTTGGTATATATTTGATCAACCACTTTCCTATTGTAGTGAAGCGGTGGATGATGAAAGAGAGAAATTTTCTCTCTTGTTACTAATTAGTTGTACTCTAGTACTTTGTTTTATTTTATCTCTTGTAATTCAAAAAAAAATTGAGATACCTTCTAACTTTAATTAGGAATGTGTATTATATATGGCTTGTGTCAATCATTCAAAATAAAATCCGCATGACCCTTGTCAAGATTTGAGATGGTAATTTGGGCAAACTTGATGAATTGGCTTGAATAAAGTTAAAAAATTGTAAAGCTATATTAAAAGTTTAAAAATTTTTATTTACTTCAAGCTTATTCAGATTGCCTGAATAAGCTCAAAGAAATTCGAGTATGGTCCAAACCTAAATAATTTTAACTTGAACATCAAAATTATTTTTATTATTAATAAATAAAATTAAAATATAATAACAATTGAAACCTTAATTTTTAAAATAAAGATTAAAATTGATTCAAAAAGAAAAACTAAAATTTGACAATTAGAGTATTTGAACTAGTTCAAATAAGTCGAGCTCTTGAAGTGTTAGGACTTAGGACTAAACTTAATCATATGATTTCTTTTTTCTATGTTCAAGTATTTCAAGTTCTATCTAAATAAGGCTAACCTAAATTAAATTTGACTCAAATAAGCTTGTCTATTTGAATTATTAGCTCTATTAAAATACATGGAATCAATTTGTTCAAACCATTAGGCATATAGTTCATATAAGTATTATAATTCTCGCGTGTTGAAGAAGCACTACAGTTATCCTGTTTATGACCAAAGCTTACTAAGGTCACAATTATTATGATAATTAATCATATCTAAACTTCAGTTTGGATACTTGAAAAAGAAATAATTCAAGCATGAAACCTCAGAGATCCTTAGTTTTTGTTTTTTTCCCCGGTAAAAAGTGATCATTAGTTGTTCCTATTCAAACGATGTGACACACAATTTATAAATAAAACATCCTATTTTTGGGTTTCAAACGAAATAAATAGGTTTTGATATTACTTGTAATAATTGTAGAACAACCCGAAAATGAAACAGTATGGAAAACGAAGCCCGAAAATTGGAGAAGAATACAAATGACCAATGAAAAGAAAATTCAACATTCATTGGGCCTTTTTTTTTTTTTAGTAAAAACTGGAAATCCATTAATGTAAAGACAACAGATACAAGAGATCAGTAAAACCAAATAAAAAACTCTTTCATCATCTTCCGCCCCTGAACTAAATTAGTGAGTAGATAATGATCAAAGAGGCAAAAGCTTATTTCTAAGGTGTAAAAATAATTTGATTGAATGATTTGGTGTGTGATTGAATCAATTTAAAGAATAAAGTCAATAAAATACAAACTTATTTCTCATTTATTTTTAAAATTAAAATATTTAAATTGAAGATATTAAAAGTGAAGAGAGGATAGAACAAAATGGAGAGAATATATTTTGCTTACATAAGTAGTCAAAATATATTTTGAATTATAAAAACTCTCATTCGATGCATAGGCCTGTTTCAACTTTTCCCTTTTACCAAAAAAATAAAAAAAAATTACGTTTTTATTTTTTTAACAAAACTGGGCAACATCAATCCCATTGAACTAGAACCATAGTTTTAACAAAAATACTTCAGCTTCGAGTCTACGTGAATGCAAAGAAATATTTTTAGGAGAGCTATTCCAAATAGCTACACACATATATAAAGAACCAGCGTCCTACATGGGATGTCTATCTCATTGTATAACATAGTCAAATAGCTACAAGCGCATATAAAAGAACCATCGTTCTACACTTGATTCTTCGTAATCATTTTTTCTTCAGATTAATAATTCAGTTTCGTTGGTTAAAAAAAAAAAATAGTTCAGTTTCTTTTCTACAGAAAATTTTAATTTATAAAAAATTTTAAAAAACACAAATAAAAAATCAACCCAATCAAGATGGATTGTGGAAAATAGCTACTTATTTTGACATCAATAATTACTAGGCAGTAGTTCGGTGTAGGCAATACACACAACAATACAAGCCCTGGAAAGCCTAACCAAATATTGCCAAGAAATTACGTCCTTTTCCCTCTAGAAAACCTCAATGAGTAAATATTAACCTACAAACAAAACTATCCCAATTCTTGCCACACGACAAGTCCACATGTTTACGGTCTACCTGAAACACTCCTGCAGACCTGCTTGGTAAAACAGAGGTCGCAGATGCCACGTCATCACATCATCTTCTTCAAATTACATTCAAGAGTGATACTAAGATGTAGATACTCGTACTTCCAAAGGAGAATTTCCTCTATTCAAAGTGCATGGAATAAATATATACTGAAGTGGTGAAATTTGAAGTGTCACATTGTGTCTCATACAAGCATAGGACAGGACACAATACAACATCGTTTATTACATACCCGGTGACTTGTAATTTGCAAGACATGCTGACATCAGCAAAAAACTATTCAATGGCAATATCTGATAGGCCTCCTACAAAACCAGCATGTAAATGTTCATCCTTGCCACAGCATTTCTTCATGTAGCTTTTGCAGCATGCACCCCTCCCTCTCTTGTCTAAACTAGCACAAGCATGCGCAACAGAAAAATCTGTGGATTTCTTTGAAGAGCCCTCGCTTATGCAACATGCATCAACTTGTCTGTCATTTGAACACTCACAAGTGCACGCAACAGTGGATGTTTTACATTCTTCCGCACAGCCATTGTGACAGGACCCAGATTCTTGCTCTTCCAAACACATACAAGATTGCATTGAGGCTGACTTGATATGCTCATTGTCGATCTCAACACATACGTGATCTTCTTGGTGCTTCTTGGCAGATTCAGAATGAGAATCTGGGTTCTGATGCCCAATAGCATGACATTTTGCATTTTCACAACCGGTGATTAAGTGGCAATGTTTACTGCCAAATTGATGGAAATTATTTGAAGTAGAAGAATTGAGATGGCAAGAAGAAATTAGTGATGGTCTACCATGAATTCCCATGTCACAGTTTCCATTATGGCAGTGTACTGTTTCATGGGACTTGCTATGTTCCAGACAGCCAATGCTGTTTAATGCAGTCGCATGCTTCTCTTCTACAGGCACATCCATATTGTGAGAACCCAGACAACTTAGATTTTCCACATCATGCAAATGGACTCCATCTTGATTCTTGTCGCAGCTTCCGTGATGGTAATGCTTGGCTTCATGGAACTCGGCATTGACTTTACATTGAGCATGAGTCCCCATGATATTGCCATGCATAGAATGTCCACACGAGCCTGAAAATGCAGGGCTAGACTGGCACTTTGAGGCACATTTATTAGGATGAGATATCACTTTCTTCTCGTCTGAGAAACAATGGTGATGGTTCTGTTGCTGGTGTCTGTGTTCATGATGATGATGACAAGAGAACTTGTCATTAGGTGCCTTGCATCCATCTTTATGGATGTGTAGTCCAATGGAAGGTCTACAACATTTTCCTTTATGCTTGGATGACCCATTCAAAAGTAGCATGCTGTTTAAGATCACCAACACGCACGTTCCTACATCAGCAAGAACTGCTGCCCAAACAACTGGATGACCCGCTATGGCCAAGCCAAGAATCGCAGCTTTAGTAATTGCTGACAACATAATATTTTCTATTACTTTCTTGTGGGATTTTCGAGCAAGCTTGATGGCTTGAGGTATCTTCCTTAGATCATTTGACATAAGGATGATATTGCCGGTCTCACTTGCTAGCGCCGAACCTGATATCCCCATTGAGATACCAATATCGGCCACCGCCAGTGCAGGTGCATCATTTATGCCATCACCAACCATGGCCGTTGGTCCTTCTTTCTTGAATTCTTTGATAATTTTTGCTTTGTCTTCGGGTATAAGTTCTGCATGTACTACCTCCAGAACATGCCCTAACTGTAGATAAAGTACTGTTGGCCATTATTATTTATCTCAGTTACCAAGACTCTGACGTTATTTTTTGAAAGTAAATGCTGAGATTATAACATATTTATGAACTTAAAATATGTTTAGGGCGTCTGTTAAAGCATGTAACTAAGTTCATTTTGCAGGGCAATATAGAACTTGGTACAAGTCAAACATCAATCTACATGGATAGTTGGAGACAGTTAGCTAGGATATAGCCATATAAGATTAATAAAGAAATCTAAACAGCTATAGTTCCCAAAAAATATTCATTATGGACCATCAATTTGTGCTTCAAAGTTTCTGAATTTGCAGCTATGATTGTAGATTAGTAGGGAGCTTAAAATGGGGTAAGAAAACAGCATGAGAACACGAAAAGTATTCAACCAATGGACGCGCAAACACCATAGTTTTAAGAATGCCTTAAACTTATGCCCCAGTAATGCATGGGAATTAAAGTATTTTTAAGCTCAAGACACTCGTTTAAAATAATTATTTTTAAATGCACACACCTGGCCATATGCTTGCATGGCAGCTGCTTGACTATCCCCTGTGAGCATTGAGGTTTTGATGTTCAATGACTTCAGCTGCCCTATTGCCTCCTGAGCGCCAGATCGGCAAGCGTCTGTCAGAGAGAAAAATCCAATCGGCGTAGCTTCAGAGTATATGAAGCCAGTTGTCTTTCCAACCAGAATATCACCTTGTAAGGCAGGAACTTCAAATTTAAGCAATTCAAATCATCAATTTACTCGGTCCCAATAATTAAAAACTAAAAATGGAATGGATCAATGGTATATTGGCTAAGAAGCATACGAGATATGGAAATCTTGTTTTATTTTAAAAAATACTCCCTCTAATCCTATAGGAGAGCGAGAGAGAGTTTGATCTTATTTGTATGTCACGTCATTCAATTTTTATTATAATTTTTTTTTATTAAATATTGAAGAGAAAAAATATATTATTGAAGGTGTATATTTAATGGGGGCAAAGTTGAGAAATTATTAAATTTTAAAACAGAATTAACAAGTTTAAAAGTTTTTCTTGATACTGGTGAAATATGTTAAAAGTGATTTATAGATAGGATCAGAATAGTAAGGATTATATATATATATATATATATAATATACATCCATGATACACTTTATTTGGCTCCAAATAGTAATTTCACACTAAATATGGTTAAGGTATTTACCTGGTTCAGACCCAGCTCTAGTGACAATTTTTCTATTTCCGATGTAAATATCTCTCCCATCAATTTTTCCATGAATGCCCTCTCCAGGAAAATTTTCAAATTCTGTTACCTTTTCAGGCTTGGGTTCAATGGAGAGTGACCTTCCGTAGTCCACAATTGCTCCTGCAATCGGATGGCTTGACTTGCTTTCGATGCTTGTGACCCTGGAAGTTAAACTAATTGATCCCAAATTCCACGATTTATATTATATAGCCTCACGAAGTGCAAGACTGGTAATGTGGCCCACCACCAATGGTGAAAAAGTGGGTCGAGATTTTATCAACCCAACTCACTAGATGGATTGGTAAGTCGGGCTGACCAAACCACATAACCCGCCATAATTTTTCAATAAATTAATACAAATCTTTTTAAAAAATGAAATTGCCAATATCTAAATCCTTAAAATAAAATAAATAATATAGCGTAGATTAAAAAATATTAATATATTATCAATAAAGTAATGATAAAATAAAGATACAAATAATTATCGGTAGTTAATTATATAAAAAATAAAAATAAAATTTAACATATATAAAAGACAATGTTTGTATATTATAAACTCTAAATTTTATGAAAATACAAATTAAAAAATGGCAAGTCAGAGGTTAAGTGGGTTGGGCCTAAATTGGTTTGTTTTCAAATGGGTTGCAAAACCCACCTTTTTAAGTGGGCCAACTTAGGAAGCTAGGCCCATATTCCTAGAAGCTCTTTTTATAATAAGAGATCAAAAATTCATGAAATGTTTCCCCTTTTCGCTTTTTGGAATGAAGTACGCATTGTGTTGCTCAAATTAGTGTTAACAGATAAATAGGGTCGAAAATCTTGCCGCATGATCATTCCAAATATGTCACGCAGAAGACATAATATCTTTTTTTAAAAAAAAAAATGTTTTCTTGAATGTTAGAGATCAACGAACAGGCAGAGGAGCAAATTCCTACCATTGTAGTAACGTGTTCAGATCGATATCATCACAAAGAGACTGGAAATTTGACACCAAAAATTCCCCTTTCGTGATAGTACCAGTTTTGTCAAAAGCCATCACCTTAATTTTTGCCAGGGTTTCAAGATAGTCACCTCCTTTGATGAGAAGACCGGATTTAGCTGCTTTAGTATAAGCACAGAAAGTAGCAACTGGAGTAGAAAGGATAAGTGCACAAGGACATGCACTTACTAAAACAACCAAGGCAAAATGAAACCAGTGTCTCTGATTCTTTACTCGTAACGCAAGTGGAATCACCGCTAGAAGAGTTGATACGACCACAACAGCTGAAAAACATTACCAGCAAGAAATAAAGCCCATGATATTGAATGAAAGGAAAGAAGAAACAACAGAAAATTCAAATAGTAGTAAACAGAACAGCATGCATTTAGGATTCTGCTTAATCACAGACTAAGGGTTTAATATTGTGAAGCATAAATATTTGACACAATCTAGCAAAGCTATAGATTCTTTAACTCAGGACAGCAATGTTAGAATTTTCTATTTCAAAATCTGTTTGATACTTACCAAACATGTTTTAACAGATCCTGGTCATATTCAAATATACTATATGTGTGTACATTCTTTCTATGTGCCTTTGAATGCATGCCAGTATGTCTTACCCAGCAGGTCAGTGCCGGTCCATGCTTAGTTGTCAATTTATGCTTATAGATGAATAAATTTACCTTTATCAAGCTTTCTGGACGTGTTTCAAATAATCTAAGTTCTCTTAACTTTAATTCGATGCCATGGACTTGCCATGGCTTGGGTAACAGACTAATATTGACGAAAAATGCAAATGAAGGTATGGAAAGGAAGTGGAAATGAACTGATAGCCACAAAGTCAACTTTTAACAAGCATGGAGCCATGATACTCTTCAAAAATTGCTTTTAGCTTTCAGGAGCCATTGAAACAGATGCAGGAAATTTTGACTAACCTGGGGTGTAAAATTTGGCAAATTTGTCAATCGATCTCTGGGTGCTGGTTTTGCTGTTTTGAGCTTCTTCCACAAGCTTCGCCATTTTGGCCACCACACAATCCTCGTATAGCGTAGTAGTTTTCACATCAATGTAACCTTTAACAAATCAACCAAACACAATCCACATTGAGAAGAGCAGAGAATAAAAATTCTACTCTTCAATTACCTTCTCTTAATACTCTGTCCACACCAGCACTAACATTAAAACCTAAGACTTCTAAAAACGAAAAATGATAAATCAATGGTCTGCCTAATAATCATCCTTTTCCAGCAGGGACCAAAATGGAGTGAGAAAGGTTACCGTTTAAGTTGATTGTACCAGCCCACACAGGAGAGTCCTTCTGTTTGAGTACAGGGTATGACTCGCCGCTCAATGTCTTCTCATCAACTTCGCAGATGCCTTCGACAACAATTCCATCAATGGGTATCACTTCACCTGCTTTAATGGCTACAATGGTGTTCACTGTAACTTCATCGGCGTCGACCGCTTCTCCTGTTTCTGCTATCACTGCTTTCTGAGGGGCTATGTTCGTCAGCGACGACATCGCTGCGCTGGCCTGAAACCCAGGGATACATTTGCAAATTTTAATTTTTCAGGGTACTTTCCGAGGGATTTCATTTCATTATTTCCTTTTCTACGTCTTTCTGCTCCTCCATTTCTCCCTAATATGGAACCGCGGAAAGAGTTCTCCCGATCCGGTCAAACGCAGAAACGCTATATAGTTTATTGGTTATAAACGGAAAGCAACGTTTAGGGGTGTTCAGTCTGTACCCGTCCCGATTGGCCCAATATCGTCCCGATCATATTAGGACGGGTCTTGTCCCGGCCCGAAAATAATCCGGACGGGACAGGAAAGAGGTTCAGGACGGGACGGGACACGGGATTACCATCGGGACGTCCCGTCCCGTCCCGAATATTATATATATTATTTTTTATTTTAAATATATTAATTATATTAATATAATTTATACTTATATTAATTATATCAATTATAATTTTAATACTTACAATTCTTATTTAAAACTAAAGTTTTTTTATATTAATAATTTTAATGGCATGGAGTAAACATGAAGATATCTTTCTTTATAATATATTAATTATATTAATATAATTTATTCTTATATATATCTATTTAATAACTTTTATTTACAATGTATTTTTTGCTTATTTTTAGAAGAGTAATTAGCTTAGTACATCTTCACTAAAGTAGAAGAACAATGATTTGATGTTATATTTGACTTGTCTGTTGTTACTAATCTTATAGTATAAAGATCATTTGTATTTATTATTATAATGTATAGTTATGATTAATATAATTCAATAATTGATTTTAAATTATTGTTATTTATGTACTTGTGTTGTTTTGATTTTAAACTTAATAAATTATATAATTTAAAATTTTAATGAATGTTATTATCCAGATCTTTTTTTGATATTATTTCATTTATCGAGACGGCGGGACGTCCCGATCTTGTCTCGGTCCCGTCCTGACTCTTAACGGGACGGGATGGGATACGGGATCAAAATTTAATCCCGATCTTTTTCTCGGGACAGGACACGGGACGGAGGTATCCCGATCCCGTCCCGTTCCGTGAACACCCCTAGCCACATTGGCCAAAAGAAATATATGTAGTGGGAAAAAAATAGCTGTACAACTGCAAACGACAAAATCTGAAGCTTGACTTGTGTTGTGTGTGTGCGTGTGCGCTTTTGATCAACTTATAATTGGTACTATCTTGATTTGTGTGTTGGGGTGTGTGTCATATACTAATATTCATTATGTTTTATTTTAAATTGTTAAAATTTGAAAAAGTAAAATTAATTTTAAATATTCAAAAAAATTACATGATAAATTAAACATTCAACAGAATTTTAAAAAATTAAATAGAATAATGAAGTTAATTAGATCTTACACTAATTAAGTGTCAACTTTTTTTATCCTTTTTTGGCTTCTTAAATAATTTTTTAGTTTAAAATATATTTTTAATATTCTAATTTTATATGAGATTTTAATTTAATCTCTTAATTTTATAAAGTATTTTTTCAATTCTCTAATCCTAATATTATTAATTTTAAATAATTATTTTTTATGTCAATTATTTTTATTTTAAAAAATTTAAAATTAATATGTTAACATTTAATAATGTTTTATCAATATTTAAAATTTTAAAATAATTTTTTTAAGAAACTAATTTCATGATTAAAAAATTGAGAAAAAACTTTATAAAATTAAGAGATCAAAATAAAATCTTGTATAAAATTAAAAAATTAAAAATGTACTTTAACCTAATTTTATTATGTCATATGAACAAGTTTTATTGGGAGGGTTAAGAACATTTAAAAAAATAATTTCAAACCCCTTCACAATTCAAGAATATTCTTGTAGTTTGATGGATAAATAAAATAAGACCGCATATATTTATTTTTATGGAATGAAAAATAATTCATACTGTTGATGTTCTATTCATTTTAAATTATAAGATAATTTTAAACAAAATCATATATATTAATAAAATTTATTAAATATGTTTTACAATTTTATATTTTTAAAATAAAAATAAAATTTTAAAAATACCATTCATTCAATACTCTATTTTTTTATAAAATTTAATATTACATTTAAGAAAGAATATTAAAAAAATATATAAAAATATTAATAGCCAAAAACTATGGGGAATATGATATTTATTTTATTTTATTTTATTTTTTGTCTTTTGCATATTACTTAATTGGTGGGGTGTCAATTGTCACTCAAGGCCTGTCCCGCCTCCGTACCTAACTGCTAACCTAATTAGGAAAGCAAGAAATGATTGAGCCAAACCTTATTGATTATGGCCTTGATCTAACGCCCGTCATTAAAATTGTCATAACATTTTAAATTAAATTCTTTAATTTAAGAGAGTTACTACTTACTGGTTATTACTCACTGCAACATTTTTTTAATTTAATAAACTTTTAAGTTTAATTTTATTTAAATGAAAAAATTTCATATTTTTTTAGCCAAAAATATAATATTTTCTCTTATCGTTAATGGGGCTTAAACAGAGTTAATATTAAAAAATATAATTAATACCTTACAAGTGTCTTATATTTAAAAAGAAATTCTAAGAAATGCCCTATGATAGAGACAAGGGGGAGTATTAATTATTTGTAACATTTTGCCAAATTTCTATCATTTTTTTGAATTTCTGAAATAATCACACTTAATTTTTAATAAAAATATTTGAGGCAGATTTTTGAGTTTCAATTGTTTTAATTTTTACAAAGAATAACGTAAAAATAATTAACATGTAAGACACTGATGACAAGGGGAACAGAGAATCCAGATTAACTTACATGTAAAATATCCTTCATAAATAATAGACAAGGATCACTAATTGCTAGAAATCGAGTAGTGATGAGCATTGAAAAGCAGGACAAAGGGATTTGTTTAAAAAACAAACAAACAAACAAGAAGAAAGAGAGAAAAAATAGAGAGATAATCATTCAGATTGATTTACCTTGTGGCTTGCCATGGACTCTAGCCATTCTGCAATTGAAGATAGAAAAACTATGGTGCCCGCTTCCAAATAATCAGCCATAGCAATTGTCGCAGTAACTGTCAATAATAAAAAATGGCTAATTATTTCCTTTTTTATTTCCCTGATTGCCACTATTAATTTCAAAAGAAGGCAATATTCAATAGGGAAAAAAATTATTGATTGATTCTTAAATAATTTTTTTCATTTCGTGAACTTTCCTCTTCATTTTCATTTTTTTTTTATCCTTATCGATCTTTCTTAAGCATCTTTTCTGCGGAGAAATATCAATTAATCAGCCCCGCATCATGCACTACGTACACCGTAGTTCACAATTGAAGATTTTAGCTTACTTCTTCAGTTTTAATCGTTTATTTTTTCACCTCAATAATCATCCTCTAAAATTTCTTCTTTTTAGTAAAGTCTGGGGAAAATATACGTTTTTAACGTTGGAAATGCTTCCAGTACTACAAATTCTAACGTTTTTTAAATTTGTAAGCAATGATACCTCTGTTTATTCTTGAATTGTATATAAAAAGTCACAAACATTCTCAATAACTTTAAAGATTCTCTCTCTCATTACTCCAACATTAAAAATATTTAATATCCATTAATCATCAATAAGTCTCATTATTTTTTTAATATTTTTATCAAGTTAAGGGTTATTTTTGCCTCTTAACTTCTAATTGAATAGTCATTTTTGCCCCTCAATTCAAACATTCTATAATAAAAAATATTTAAAAATATAATTTTGGGCCTATTAACTATCAACTAATAGTGAGAAAATAACATGATAATAATGAAAGAAATATTTAAAGTTGAGGAATAGAATTGACCTATAATTGAATTTAAAGGTGTTTGTGACTTTTCGTATACTGTTTAGCGACAAAAATGACCCTTAATAATATAGCTTTAATTTTCCAAATTAAATCTGAACATATGGATTTTAAATTTAAAACTAAGTGAATTATATTATAAGAATTAGTTCTAGAATAAACAAATCGTCAAAAAATTTACTTGTTGTTAAAATAAAGTATTCTGAGGATTAGAACAATTTTTTAAGAAATAATAAATTTAATTTAACTACTTTCATTTTATATAATAAAAATAAAATTTTAAATTGAAAGTAACAAAAAAGTTATGATTTTTTTTTAAAAAAAACATCCATATAGCCACCCACAACATTTTTTTTAAAAATGAATTTTTTCCCACATTTTTATAATGATTTTTTTTGTTGGCAAAATTTTTATAATGAAATTTAAGTATTATAGAATAGCAAATAATTAAATGCCAAATGGAGCCTAAAAACGTAATATAAGAGATTAGTTAACGACATCACCTCTTGAAGAGCATGAATAATAAACATATATAGTCGATGACTTACGCGACCTGTTCATGTCATATAATGATATACTCTCTCGTTTAAAAATATAAAGTATTTTTAATCAAATTTTACACCTCAATAAATAGTTATCTACTTTCAAATTAATCCTATCTTTTCACATTCACTCTTATTAAATACTCTATAATAAATATAAAATCATTATCAATAGGGATATTTTTGAAAAAAAAATGATTACACCTCGAAAGATTAAAAATACCTTACATTTTTGAACATCAAACTTCTTAAAAAATACCTTATATTTTTTAACAGAGAGAGTATTATTAATTTATAATTATGTTATTTTTCCATGTATTATAGAAAGAGAGACCCAAAATTCACTTTAATCTTTTTACGGGTAAAATTGTAAATTTATCCAAAGACTCATTGAAGTGTGGAGGAAGCACCACTTATTGCCTCCCATATATTCGTCTTGTTTTTATTAAATTGGATAGGACAAAAGGGGGAAAGGATTTATATTTTATACCTATTTAGTTTTCAAAAAACTTCCTCCATTTTAAATTATAAAGCACTTTTGAGAGAGATCTAATGTCTCAAAATACAAAATACTTTAATAAAAATAAAGTTTTATTAATGGTATTTTTTTAATATTACATTTTTCATTATATTCTCTATTTAATATTCTTTCATAAATGGAGTATTAAAATAAGAAAATTTTTAAAGGTTTATATTTTTATTTTAAAAAAATAAAATTATAAAGTGTATCTAATACATTTTATTAGTATGTATAATTTTATCTAAAAATATCATATAATTTGAAAAAAGGGGTAGTAATGACTTTTTCACCACACATAGCATTCTCTAAGTGCCAACTTTTAAAAAGACTGAAAGAAGGAAAAATCACAGACATACTATACAAGAATTTTAATTACAAAAAATCCCTCAAAATGCATAAATAACCATGAAGTTCTAGCCAGGCTTAAATTGTGAAAAAGCTTTGGAGTGCATTTACCAAAACGCGCTTATTTATTTATTTATTTTTAAAATAAACTCTTCCCATGGTTACTGCACTAGTTGGCCAGCAACTGAAGGCAGCGTTGGCTGACTTGCAGTGGTGGCACTGCCAGTGAGTGGCATCGCCATCTGTGGGAAGAGTTTTTGATTTTTAAAATGAGGACAATTTGGTAAATACACACTAAAACATATTTACAATTAAAACTTACGAGATTTTAGAGTTGTTTTTACATCTTATGGATTTGGTTGTGGAATAGAATTCTTCTATGGGACCTCTATGCGTTTTTTTTTTTCATGAAAGAATGCGTAAGTAAATAAATAAATAAATTACCTGCAATGAGCATGAGAATATTTATGTCAAGCCTAAGGTTGCGAATGGAGGCCAGGGCTTTCAAAATAATACGGTAAGCACCAGCAGCTACAGCACCGAGGGCGAGGTATTCCAAAGGACGGTACACAAACTTTAACAAGGCAAGCAAAAGCAACACCCCACAAACCATTGCATTTGGGCTTGGCATTCTCCTTCGCAGCTTCTCTGTCCCATTAGCTGTTCTCACATTTGCTTCAAATCTTGCTTGATTCAGTGCCTTAACTGTCACCCCCAACAAATTCCTCATCATTAGCCACCAAGTTAAGCAAATCTCTCTCTCTCTCTCTCTCTCTCTCTCTAGAAAAAGTTTAAGGAATCCAATCCAAATGTGCTCAATGGGTCTTAAAGCAAACAGAAAGATAGTCAAACCTCCATCCTTATTGGTACTTTTCAGAAATGAAATAACAAAATGGGGGCACTTTAATTAAGTTTCATTTAATTAAAGTTGTGGAGAAGGCTGGGAAACCACTAAACGAGAACGCCAAAAGGTTGACTCCTTACTTCTCTTTCTTTCTTTTCCTTTTCTTTTTGGGCACCATACTATATATTAGTGTTTCTCTTTCTTTTCATAGCATTAAGTTTTCAAGTTTCTAAGGAGCTATCCCCATGCATTTAATTTGCATGGAATTTAAGATGAAGCGGCCTCCCTCCTTAAGACTTGCATGTGTCCTACGGCATGACTCTTTACACTTTTATAATTTATGTTGACATCAAAATTATTAAAAGAAAATTTAGCTTCCAATAGTGGCAATATTCTAAATGATCATACAATTAAGGGAAAGTTAATATGCAATCCCTACAGTTATTTTTTTTTAATCAAAATCTAATAGTTTGATTAATGAAATATGTTAATCCCTAAGGGTTAAAGTCTCTAATTTTTATTTTAAAAATGATATTTTTATTAAAAGATTATATAACTTTAAAATTAATTACATAATTTGTATAACTCAAGATTTATCTAATTAAGTTATGTTTTCTAAATAATTTTTATATATATATATAATTTTCATTCAAAAATTAATAAAAATATGAACAGTGTATTAAATCAAATTTTGTTTTGACCTTTTCAGTTAAAAGTATTAAATCAATTTTCTATAAATTTTAAAATTTTTTTTTGAAAAGCTAATCATTTATTAATAATTTTAACTTTTAAGAACTAACATATTTAATTAATTAAAGTATAAGAATTTGATATTATAAAAAAAGTATAAAAGTTTGATTAAAAAAATAAATTATACAAACATAATTTAAAATCGATGAAAGCTAAAAGGATGTGGTCGAAGATTAATTTTCCCTACAACTAATAATAACAACAAGGACGGCAACAATAACCGATCACCTATTATCTAAATCTTGAAAAATATTAAACGTTGTCAATTTAAATTTTAAAAATAAAGCAATATAATTATTTAACAATGCTAAAAAAATTAATACAATTCTATTGTGAATTCCTCTAGTCATAAATTCCTTTGGACCTTATCCTAAGCTAGATATTATATGTATATGATAAAAATGTTTAATAATAAAACAATAAAAGCAATGGAGTATTGAATTGCGTTTCTCACCCAATTTGTTTAGTTTGAGAGATACACGGAAGATGTAATTAACATACAATCCAGTATTGAAGAATAACTTATTGTTAATTAAAAAAGCTCCATGGAGAATTTGGAAATCTTACCGATCTGAGCTTGTGAGATTACAAGACTATCATGGACGACAATGACGGTTCTGGAAGGCACGATGACGGAAAACTCCTTGATTCCGTCGAGAGCTTTCAGGATGCTCTGGATAAGAGGCACCTCCGACGAGCAGCACAATCCAAGCACGTCGAAGTAGGTCTTCTGCAACTTCTTGACCATCTTCTCCTTTCTCTCGGCAGCCATTATTAGAACCTGCAGCTTCGCGAATCTCAAAATCGAAATGATCTCCGATTCCGATCGATCGACAACCTGCTATAGCAGAACACAAATATATATAACCACATACCAGACGCAAAACTAAATTTCATTTCGAATCCGAAATACAACGACTTTAAAAAAATATTAAGATGAGAAGATATTAAGAGAGACTGTAAGAAGAGGAGAGGAAGAAAGAGAGGAGACGAGTGTGGAAAGTTTGAAGCAATAAAGAAGAAAAGATGTGAAAGAGAGGAACAACACCTTTGTGGTGAGTATAACGAGATAAGAAAAGCGGGAAGAGCTGTTGGTGAAGCAGCTTCAAGAGCGTTGATGGCTTTAAGTAGGGAATGAGAGGGAGCTTGGCTAGCGAGGCGGTTGAGAGATTGATTTGTCAGATTGACAGAGATTTTAAATTAGAAAAAAGGAAAAAGGAAAATGGCACCTGTGGCCTCCGAATGAGAAAAAATTACACTTGAGATGATGATCTTTTTAGCAAATATGTTCTAAGGAAAAAGAAATAATTAAATCTATCATCAATGAATAATTACTTATTAATATATAAATATAAAATTATAAATTTATCAACATTTAATTGTAAAAAATATGAGTTTACTATCGTAATGAACTACAATTATGAGTATACAGAGTCATAAATTCTGAATTTTGACTATGTTTATAAATATTTAAATTTTAAGTTGTAAATTTATGAAATTGTTCAAGATGAACGAATTTCACTACCAACAAACAATTAATTGTTAACATGTAAATCTTAAATTGTAAATTTATGAAAATATATTTATAAAAATCTAAACTTGCTGTCACAATTAATCTTAGTTATGAATATGTAAGGTCATAAATTTTGGATCTTGACTTATGAAGAAATGAACTTATATTTATAAATATTCAAATTTTAAGTTATAAATTTGTAAACTTAGCCAATACGAACTCATCAACTCTAAACAAAAAATTTATTATTAATTAATAAATATTTATTAATATATGTCCTAAATTTATAAATATGTGAACGTCTTGTCATGAAACTTTTATTTGCCATAATATTTTTTTCTAAGAATAATTGTATTTTTTACTCATAAAACATACTTCCTTCATTCAAAAATGTAAGGGTTTTTTGAGAAATTAGATGTTAAAAAATATAAAATATTTTTAATTTTTTGAGGTATAATTATTATCTTTTTTTAAAAGTGCCCGTATTAATAATAATTTTATATTTATTATGAGGTGTTTAATAGGAGTAAATATAAAAAAATAGAGTTAGTTTAAAAGTAGGTAACTATTTTATTGAGAGGTGAGATTTAATTAAAAATATCTTATATTTTTTAAAATATTTGTTAAAAAAGATCCTAAAACATGCAAAATAATTTTAGAATGTGTTAGATCCTGAATGCAATTTTTTCTCTTGGGGAGCCCCTGTTGCGATTTCCAAAAAAATAATACTCCATGTTTAATTGAAAAGCATAATTGGACAATGCAAGTTCCGCTCATCATTTTCCCCCCGGGGGGGGGGGGGGGGGGAACAGTTCCTTTGTCCATTCGTGCGAACAAGGGAACAACACGTCACTTTTTTTATTACGTCAAATTAATTCCACTTAGCACATATTGGATTTTGTAATTTTGATTCAATTAAAACTTAATGCTATCAATCCTTCTTTTTTTTTTTGTAATAATGCTTTCAATTAAACGTTGATAAAAAAATCTTTTAATTGAATCATTTTAAATGTTAGTCTTTAAATTTTCAAAAATAAAATTATAAGATTAAAGTTATATCTTGAATATTAAGAACTAACTTTTTTAAATGGTTCAAAATGCAAAGAATGAGTTGCATTAAATTAAAATTTAGGCCCGAGTTAAAATTATAGAGATTAAGGGTTTGTTTGATTTTATTTTTATTTTTTATTTTTAAAAACTATTTTGAAAATAATTTTAAAAAATTATTTAAAAAAAATAAAATGAAAATTAATTTATATGTTAATTTAGAAAAAATTTTGAATTTAAAAAACTGTCAACAATGGTAGTCAAATAGTCATCAGTGATCAATGACAACAGCTTACGGTAGTAGTTAACCACAATTAAAAATAATTTATAATAGTCAAATGTTTTATGCTTTAAAAATAAAAAAATAAAGAAAACAAAAACATATCTAAGTTGTTTCTATTTTAAACAAAATAAAAAATGAGAATAATTTTGAAAATATTTAAATTCAAAATATTTACCCCCAACACACACATATTTAAAAACAGAAATTAAATAGATCCTAAATTACAACAAATCAAAGTTTAAAAATAGAGTTTTAAATAAGTTTAAATTATATACAAATCAAATAATTAATTTTTTCTTTTTGTTATTTATAAATTATGTAATTAAAAATCATAAAAAGTAATTTATTTTTATTATTTTTTTGATCACGCACCAGTGTTGGGGCAATCCTGTTCAATATAGGGTTAGTTACTAAATATGATCACCATTTTTATAGAAATTTAAACTTTAATTCACTATGTTGTAAGGAATTAGCTTCTATTCTACTTAACCCAACCCCTGTTAGTAAAATAATTTATTTTTATTAATAGTTGATGGGTCAATTAGAAGGGATATATTCGCCTTAAGTATGCTCGAATATTTAAATGTTGTGAATGAAACAAATGGATTTCCTAAAGTCCTAACCAATATTCAGGGACATGAAATAATATTTGAGCATCAATGAATTTAATTTAGGTATTCTTTTCCTGTTTAATAGTTTCCATATGCAATATTTGAGCTCTTAATTGACAAAGATAATAGAATTTCTTCTGCTTAATCTTATTTTTAAGGTAGAAAATATTTATTAATAATTAAAACAACAATTACGTAAAAAATAAAAATAAAAATAAAAGAGATCCCATAGGTAATCCCAGATTGTACTGCAGAAAAGATAGATGGAAAGAGAATAAACAAGAAAATGAAACAAGAGAGAAATTGCGACCAGCCTCAATAATGTCACTGAACAGGATGTCATAAGCTGAAGGAGTGTTTGTCCGGTCGGAAAAATCTATTGTTATATAACTATCTAACAACGTATATTTTTATCAAATTTAATAATTTTCTTATTCATTTTTAATCTTTCATTTTTTTAATTTTAAAATAATTTAATAACAACAATTTAAAAAATTCATTTTTTTACTTTTATATTATTTTTATTTACTTCACAGCAGTTGCTAAAAAGTTGTATTAAAAAAAGTTCATATTGTCTTTTTAAATTTAGAAGTAGTTTATAATGTTTTTATTATACGATTGTTTATTAATAAAATTTATCACCATCGTACGTGTACCTTGTCAAACAATATAATTACATTATTATGCTAAGCATTAAATTTTATATATTATGTACTTGTTATACTATTATTTAAAAAATATAATTATTATATTTTCCTTTTTGTTCAAGAAAGTTTTGGTGAGTTACGTCCTGAAAATTTATCAGGACCAAGGAATATAATTATTATGTTTTGATTACAGTACATGGTTCTAAAAATGTGGATCAATTTTTGGAGTCATATTATTAAAAGATTCAAACAATACAAAATTGAAGCTAAATAAAAGGATTTTTAATAATTAGGTGTTTGGATCAACGGATTAGAAATTGATCCCTCTTAAGTAAAGTTTTGGAGTTCAAGTCCTGAGCATAATTATATTTATAATTAATTTTAAAAATTAAATTTATTATCAAATTATAAAGAAGAATTAAAAAACGAGTTTTAAGAAAATGGTGTAAAACTATTTGTTTATTATCGTAGTTTTCAGAAAATTTGGCAATCTATGTTTTAAAACTTAGAAATTAACTTTGAAAAATTGTTACAATAATTTTTTATATGAAAATATTATTTTAGTATTTGGGTCTTCAAATATATATTTTAAATAATAAAATTTTACTATAGGAAAAAAAGAAAGAAAGAAAGAGGCACCCATATACACTGGAGGGAGATTAAGGGTCTGTTTGTTTTTTATTTTTAAAAATAGTTTTTATTTTTAAAAATAAAAAATTTTAAAAATTTGTTTGAATAAGTGTTTTTCATTTAGTTGTTTTTAAAAACTGTTTTCATTTTTTATTTTTAAAAAATCAAAAAATAGAAACAACTTTAAATTTTTTTATTTTTTTATTTTTAATATACACTAGATTTAATTATTAAAAATTATAATTATCTTACCAATTTCTATTATCAATTATCATTATTAACTGTCTATAATTATTACTATCAGTCCATTTTTTAATTCTAAAATTATTTTTAAATTGGTATAATTAAAAAAATTTTATTTTATTTTCTTTTAAAAACAATTAACCGTTTTATAAAACAATTTTAAAAAATAAAAATGTGAACAAAAATCAAACAAATCCTAAATTTCTTCTTCACGTAGATAATTCTTTTGATCCCACAAGGCCCAAAAAAAAAAAAAAAAACCCCACAGGGATCTGGAATCATCGCGTGGTCTTTTTTTTTTAAAAAAATGTCAAATAATAAATGGTTTTGTAAATGGAAATCAAATCTTTGCTAATTTCTTTGTATTTTTGTACGCACTAGGGTTTCTAAAAGGCTGGGTTTTTTCCCCCCTCTGTGACATAAATATTAAAACTAATTTTTTTATGTATACAATAAATATAGTTTAGTTAGAATTAGTTTACATTTTGTTTTTTTTTTTTTGGTTAACCCTAAGAGATACTAGTCTTCTTGCAAGCGAGGAATACTTTTCGAAACAAAATTGAAAATTCATTTTAGCAAATGAAATTTTGCCAATTAAGCTCTTTATTAATCACACACACACAAGTAAAAGAAGTTTTTAGCCATTCAATAAGATAGTACTATGTAACAATGGATCGAAAACTTTTTAAGGTGAGACTTAAGTATTTAACATTACATGCTTATATTACTTTTATTCAATCAAATTAAGAATGGTTGACTTTGACATGTTAATTGTATTAATAATAATAAGTTATTATAGAATAAATAATAAATAAAAGATTCACACATTTTAATTTAATTAATTAGAAACAACAAGTTACGTATATAAGGCTAGATGCATACGTTTTTCCCAACTTTTTATTTTTAGACACATGCTTTTTAACATTTATGTTATTCAATTTTATTATTAAATTATACCATGTGAAAATTTGAAAAACATTTGATTTATGATACTAAATGTTAAAATATTTCTTATCTATCACTAAAAATAAAAATTATTGATTTATATTAATATTTGATTTGCTATTCTAAAACATGGAGATTCATGTGAAAAACTATCTAATTTATGTTGATATTCAAGCCAGCTAAGAATAGTGGGATTGAGTATGTGTAGAAGTCAAGAGAATGTATATATATTA